GACCTTGGAGGAGGAACACTCTGACAATTCAAGGAAAAGTAACTCTGATTAATACATTAGTAATGCCACAATTTGCTTCTTCCTTCACCTAGCATAAAGTTCTTTAAACATTTTGAACAAAAAAAATCTAATTTATATGCAACAATAAACCAGATAAAATTACAAGGCAGTACCTGTATAATTCTTATGATAACGGTGAACTGAATTAAAAAAAAAATCTTCAAATGATGGACTGTTCCTTGAAAGCCTCCTGGGTTGCTAAATTTTTTCACAATGTATCACGAGCCAGAGATTATATTCAGCCTTTTCCTTCTTCTTGAACAATAGATTTGCTTTTTACCAATTAAAACAACACATATTGATAAACTATTTCAAAACAGTTTAAAAGAGTTATCACCATTCTTCAAGGATGCACTGAAAGCTTGGTTTAATTTCCAGTACCACCCTCCAGATACAATTCAAGATATTCAGACACAGTTGCTATGGATAAATTCAAACATTATGGTGGAGATGAAGGATTACACATTTTATTAAAGGGCACCTATTATGGAAAATTCACTTTTACATGGTGTTTGAACATAAATGTGTGTTGGCAGTGTGTGAGCAAAACCACCCTAGAACGATAAAATCCACCCAGTGTTTTTTTTTTACAATCTCAATAAATCATATCCACTGTCTCAGAACGAGCTGTTCTGAGATTCAGCTCTTTGTGACGTAGAAAGTGAGAAATGGGTTTGATTGACAGTGTGGTTGTGGCATAGACCCCCACCTCGGTGATCTGTACACACCATCCTCCATTGTTTCAACGACAGTCGGTAATATCTCTTGGAAACATAAATGTTCTGTCGTGGGTTAATCCTGTTGTTGTGGCTTAAAAGTTAATCCTCAAGTGTGGATCGTCGTCTACTGTTTGCGATCCACCGACACATCCAGTAACAGTAAGTGTATTTTTATGAATTTTGAGGAAATAACTTGTTCAGTCGATGTCAGCTAATAACAAATGCGTTTAAAGTTGTTGTCGTCGTCGTCGTCGTCCTAGGATGTCTGTTTATAATTTAAACCTTGTTTGTATAGTTTGTAACTGTACTTTTATAAATATATATACAGTATATATATATATATATATATATATATATATATAAAGATATTGTATTAAAAACTGCATATATGTTGTTGTCCTGTAAGTTAGCCATCTTCTCACATTTGCCACAGAAGCACCTGTATGACAAGCTAAACATGACGCAACAGGTCCCTCGTATAAATGTATTTCGCTTGTACATAGCAAACTTTATCACAGTATGTGTATGTAGTTTCAAAAAAGACAGCGTTAGCGCCAGCGTTAGTGTTGGTGTATGTCTGTGTGTGTGTGTGTTGCACATCCATAATTGCAAATGGGACGCGATTACAACTCTATACATAAATGTATCAAATAACCATACCAAGACGTACTGGTCCATTCTCATTTGTGTTTATTCTGCCGGAGTCTCTTCGTACTATTTATATATTCCGATTCAAACGTACGCTGAATGACATTCAAAACAGCGCGTCTCTCAGCCCGTCTGCTTAGAGTGACTGCCGATAGGTATCAAGTTACGCCCTCATCCAAAGGCAGGGCGGGGATATGCAGCTCATTTGCATTAAGGTGGTATACCTCCAAAACAGCTCATTTTTAAAGAGGCCCCAAAATGACATTTTCAAATGGTTATAATAAATTAACTGTGGGGTATTTTGAGCTGAAACTTCACAAATACATTCTGGGGACACCTGAGACCAATATTACATCTTGTAAAAAGGGGCATAATAGGTGCCCTTTAACATGTTTAATTTAGATTTCCAATACAATGGTGTTTTAGATGGAGAACGTTTCTGAAATGATGAGACCAGAAAATCTCTGCAAATGGTAGGAGTTCCCAGCGTGATATTCCTGACTGTCCTGTGACAGCACGAGAAGGCCAGGCCTTTCCTGTTCTCACGTCTCACCGTGTGAAAACTCCTGCTGAGCAAGTTTGAACACCTGTTATTTGAATTACTGAGACCATTTGCCTTTGAGTTCTAGGGTCTCATGCATTTACATTTGCTTTTTTTCACTGTCTACCTCTATGTAACCCTCCCCCTTTTGAAATGTATAAGAATAGTTCTGTATTTTAGTCTAGGCAGACAATTTCTTGAGATGACTACAGCGACGCAATAAAGAACTCCTGCGTGAAAGATACCTCAATGTCTCCTGGTCTGTTGCTTCTCTACTTTGGAAGAAAAAGTTCACTACAGAGACAAGCCATTGTTGTGGTAGGAATGTGTCAAAAATGGGTTAATTTTTGTTAATGGCCTTTTAGACTTATCTGGAGATTATATTTCTTGTGAAAATTTGAGAATTCTTTTGGCATTTCTCTCGATCGGTTACGATTCAACCAGCTGATTTATGCAATTCCTATAACTTTTTAGTAAATAAAATTGCAAAGTGGTACGAAGAATAAATTAATGGTTTGTCTCCCACCAACATGATGCCTAAAATTGTTGTCTGGTGTAAAGATAATAAAATAATATATATTTGGAATTTAAATATCACAGGCACTACACTTTTTCCACACAGAACCTGCCAGTTTTGGGAAGATTAAATTAATGATCCAATTTTGTGGAAGGATTATTTTAGAATAATTTATAGAACTACAGTTGATTCATATTACAGAATTTCAACTTCTTTTAATATTTTTTTTTATAAAAATTATTGCAACAAAAAAATCTTTATTCAAATGGCAGATAGAAAAAGGATCCCTGTTGCAGGTTCTGTGGGGATGAGGAGGACTTGATGCAGTTGTTTCATTTTTGCCCATATTTTGCCCCAAGTTTTGGGTCAGTATACAGTTATGGTTTGAGGATTGTATGGATATTATTTTACGAATCACACCTCAGAATATTTTATGTGTCTTTGAGGGTAAATGCACACATTTTTGAATATGATTAACTTGACGGGTAAAATGTTTATTTTTAAAGCTAAACTATATCAAATTTATGTATATATAAAATGTAAGAATACAGTCTATCTTCAGTATATCCTGGAAACAATTATAGCAACAAATAACAACAGAATAACTGAGCATGAAAAGAAATGGAATATCTGCTTGAGTTAGAGATATAAATATTAGGTGTACTTTCTTAAAAGTGTGCCATGTGTTATATCATAAATGTTTTGCAAATTGTATTGTATTTTGTTTATTGATTTTTTTATCAGTATTATTGATTTATTCTAATTTATAATGTATTTGATTTATTGTTTGCTTTGTGCTTCCTTTCTATGTATGGTTTGCTTTCCTGTCATAACACTATGAATGTGTGGATGGTTGTGATTGTGGTATGAATGCATGGGGCAGTGATTGGGGTGGGTGGGGGTTTTGAAGCTTGTCTTGTTGTTTTATTCTGTAAACAAGTAAAAATAAATTGAATAGAAGAGAATGTGTTCGTATTACTGGATCAAGTTCTGCTGAAAAAGATGCGTCTTCAGCCGTTTTTTTTTTTTTAAATGTCTATGGAATCAGCAGCTCTGGTTGAGTTAGGCAGATCTTTCCACCAGCAGGGAACAGTCATGGTAAAGGTCCGAGAAAGAGATGTTGTGCCTCTTTGAGATGGTAACACAAGACGACATTCGCTTGCAGAGAGCAAGTTTATGGATGGCAGAGCCAGTGGTTGTTTTGAAGGAAAACGTCAGTGACTTGAATTTAATGCGAGTGGCAACTGGCAACCCGTGCAATTTTGTGAGCAGAGGAGTGACGTGTGCTCTCTTCGGCTCATTAAAGGGTTAGTTCACCCAAAAATGAAAATTAAGTCATTAATTACTCACCCCCATGCTGTACCAACCCCGTAAGACCTTTGTTCGTCTTCGGAACACAAATGAAGATATTTTTTATTAAATTTGAGAGGTAGATCACTGCTACATAGGCTGCCTAAGGGATCGAAACTTGACAGCCCAGAAAGTCAATGAAGAAAATGTTTAAATATTCCATATGACAACAGTGGCTCAACTATAAGTTTATCAAGTGACGAGAATACTTTTTGTGCAAAAAAACAAACAAAAATAACAACTTTATTCGACTATTCCTTTTCTTCCTTGTAGGCCTGAGACGAGAGTTCAAGAGATTTCCACAACGCATGTGTGAAAATTGCGATCTACTTCAACTACTTCAGTTCAGTTCTCGAACTGAATTAATGACTTAATTTTCATTTTTGGGTGAACTAACCCTTTAAAGACCACTCTGGCTGCAGAATTCCGGATCAGTTGCAGAGGTTCGACAGAGAAAGCTGGAAGACCGGCTTGGAGAGCATAAAAATATAAATAATCACGATTACACTTACATTTCTTTAAATCAGTTTTCATGAATGAATGGTTTGCTCTAACTGTTTCTCTGGTCTTTGTAAACCACACGCGCTTGCACCTCCTGCTTGCACCCCCTCCTCTACCTCTACTGCTTTTCCGGCAGTTCCTGGATGTCAATATTAAATTTACTGTCGAATTGGAAACGCTGAATTTGTGGAAGCGAATTTGTAAAGCGAAATAAAATGGACCGAAAATTGCCTGTTGAATATTATAGGTTGTGTTTTTAAACAGTTTCAACAGAATATTTTGGAAGTGAAATGAAAGGTGAATATGGATTATTGATTTTTTTAAAATGAAAATGTGTTTGAAATGCTTTGAATTGAAATATTCATAGCTTAAATGTTCAACCATGTTGAATTTTAGCCAAAAAACAATGCAAGTCCTAAAAATACAATGCATTAAAATGCAAGCATGGTTAATGTTTTTTTTTTTTTATTTTTTTACTTCCATTGGTGTGTATAACTTTAAATACACTGTACTTATTTGTAGGTTTTAATCTCTGACCAGTTACTGAAATATCTTTGTATACAAAAAATATTTTTGTTGAATAGTTGTCCTCAGTTCCTAAATAATACACTCTTCATACTATGATACTTTTACTTTGACTTTCTCTGCACTTCTGCTGTTCCAGGTCCATCGAAATCTGTCCCAGCTGCCAAACTTTTCCTTTTCTGTGGCTCTTTCCTACTATCACCTCAGCCAACAGGAAGACATTTCACCTGTGGAGAACCAACAACTGAAGCAGAAATCCAATGTGCTCCTGCAAAACGCTTTAATCATGTTTCCTGGGGGTGAGTTTCAAATCACTTTGACATATTTCCCACTTTTATTTAAACTTAAGGAAATTATAAAAATAATGCAAAAATCCATATCATGACCCCTTTACGACTATCATAATTGCTTTCATAATTTTACTGTTGTCTTGCTATCAACAACACATGAGGATACCATTAGATGTGGTGTGAGTAAATTACCTAGGTATTACAGGGGAGGGGAGGAGGGGTGGGAGGGGGGCGTTAAATATCCAAGTAATTCGCTACTGTCAATCTAGAGTTTTTTTAACTGCTCCAATGAAATTTGTCCCTCTTTCTGAACAAAAATGCTTCACCGGTCCTCTGACGGCAAAGAAGCATCACAAAGCACAAATAAAGCTTGATGCTGACAAGGACTCCGTGACCTTCAAGTTCCTGGTACCCAAGCAACTGAATATGACAGCCCACCACTTGTTCTCAAAAACATCAAGACCTGTGTGTGTGAATGATGGCCTTACACTAGTGGTTCTCAACAGGGAAGTTAAAAGAACAGTGGGGGTCGTAGGAAGCAAGATATTTGAAAGGGGGTGTGCAGGTGTTAATGGGTAAAGGTATTCACAAGTTTAAATGTAACGCAAATTTTTGTTCATTTATTTGTAATTAACCCTCTGAGGTCTAGGGTGTATTTGGGGTCCTTGAGATGTTTTGAGATGACCTGACATTTGTGTTTTTTTCAGTTGCTTATAAACCTATTAATGACACAGGTGAAATTAGCAGAAACAGTGCTACCATAATATGTGAGCAACATGTATGTACATGTTTGTAGTTTTCGAGAGAATATTGTTTATGCGTGGTTATTGAAAAAACTAAAAATTAAAGTTTCTGAATTAAGGCGAGACACGGCAGGCAAAAACATCGTTTTTTTTTTCCACTGGTCAATTTTGAGATTTTGGGATATTTGACTTCAATAACATGTATTCTTTCAGACTTGTGTTGAAAAAAAGTCTGAAATACATATTTAGGTCTTTATTTTACTACACTTTGTCAGTTTGCGCCTGTAGATTTCTCATAAATTCAACAAAAGTTGCGTTCTAAATGATTGCGCTGCTCCGCGATCGCTGCATACACCCTGTCATCACATACAAAGCACATCTCTCTCCTTTCCAATGCTGTCAGGTCCAAATATGGTCATTTCCTTTTAATCAACATCCAATCGTGGAAGCAAAAGTGGGGATTTGTTTACCTCGGGGATTAACGTGATTCGTCAATCGTCACATGGTATGCTTTGACGCTTGCTGATTTGGAATTTTAGAATATAAATTTTTAAAGCCTGTTTTCTTAAAATTACTTTTTTCTCATACTCAAAGTCTGAAATCTCCACTTCAGTAGCACCTATATACACCAAACTTTCCAGTCTTGTACCTAGTTATATTATGAAGACATTTACAGAGGGATTTGTAAATATATTATTCCTAGCCTGATTTATGTAACATTTTATCCCAAAAAACATGGCGAAAATCATTTTTTTAAGACTATTGATGGTATATTCTGATTTACAGGATAACAAAAGTAGATATCCATAAATCCTTCTGTAATTTTTTCCCCATCTATTATATGAACACAATGAAAAAAAAAATTGAACCTGGCTTTATCCAATAGTCATATTTCGTTGTTTTAAAGATATGCAAATTAGTGCATATTTAATCAGATAATGCCTCATTTGCATATTTAAACATTAAATTACAGAAAACTTGTAATACATTTTTTTCTCATCTTAATGTAGGTAATCAACTGGGAAAGTTTCATGGTGATATCTGCTAGTTTAAAATTTTACCCTATTCACCTGTAGTGTCTCGCCTTAAAGGGATACTCCACCGGGAGTATTAATTAAGACGAGCTGATGCATACCTCTCTCGTCTCAGTGCGTGCACTCTATCGTTCTCTATTGCCGCAAAACTATGTTAGCACTTAGCTTAGCCCAGTGCATTAAATATGGGCCAAAAAGAAAAGTGACAAAACACTTCCTCGTTTTCCCTATTTAAACACAGTTACTCGATTAGTGTAACTCGAGCTAGGCTGGTGACACAAAATAAAACGTTGTGTTTTTCTAAGCGTTTCAAATTGATGACTATATTGTATGGCGGAATACCATAAAAAAGTGCTTTAGAGCACTTCAACTTGGCGCAATAATACCTTCACTCGTGAAAAGTCCTCTTACCGGCTTTTTTGGAAGAGTATCCCTTTAATGTAAAACAAAAATAATTATTACTGTTTCAAAAAGAACTTCCCAACAGGGATCAATAGTCTCTGATTCTGATTACCAGCCTTCGGAACATATCCACAAAGTCATCAGATTTATGGCCCTAGCCCTTCTTGATTCTATACTCGGCACACCCAAATTGCTTAAACGCTCATCAGGCATGGTACTTCTCAAGGCAGTTTTGATTAACTTTAGCTTAGAAAAACTGCGCTCACAGGATGCAGTGCTCACGGGTAGTGCAAGTGCAATTTTGCACAGTTTAAAAAAACAGTGAGCTCTATTAATGCATTTGGTGTTTCCTGATGACTACTTTGCTTCCTCTGAAGAATGCGCTTAAGCTGTGGGATCTCATATTGTAGATCCTTAGTACTGCAGTTGTATTGTGAGGCAAATGGAAACACTACATCTTTCTCACAAAATATGGCACTGCACGGATTCAAGGCCTGTATCCCTTTCATTATGACACAATTTTCTTTAGAAAATCTTCTCTTCACCTCAGAGAGAAGCACATCAATAACTGGAATGAATGAACCTGTCCGAAAGGACTCTTTAAGTGCTCTCTTGTCTTTGAACTATTGGAGTGAACAAGTAATGATCTTCAAGCAAAGAGCTTGGTCTGACCTGACGGCCTGAAAGTGTGGCACTGATGTTGCATTGCTCAGTAAGAGTTAAAATATTGTCCCAGATGTCATTAAAGAGAGAGCCCTCTCTGTAACTCTCCCATGTGTCAACAAGAGAGACAACAAGTGTGACAGCTGTGCCCAAATCAAGTTGTGGGGACTGTAAAATATCTGACAGATATTTTATCTCACCAAGAACACTGGTGAATGTTACAAGGAGGCTAACAAACTTGAAATCTATTTGGGCTAATAAACCTCTTACCTCCACAGTTCTGTCACCATTTTGCTCTTCTGATATTTCTTTTAGTAGACGTATGATGGTTGACAGTCTGTCTCTCACTGTCTTGCAAGCATTATACCTACATGCCCACTGTGTTTCTCAGTCTTTGTAACTCTCTTGGGCCCCCCTGAAACATCTCCCTCTGTACCTCAAGCCATCTTTGGTGCACATATGACCCTGACACAAAAACATACAGTTTCTGCAAAAGAGAAAAGAAGCGATTAGATTCAGGGATGCATGTCACACTGTCGACTTATACTAAATTTAAACAATGCGCATTACAGTGCACATAAAAAGCTAAAGGGGCCTCTGATTTCATGCGTGCTTGCACACCTGTGTTTTTTCCGCTCATGACTGAGGCTCCGTCATATGCTTGCCCTACTAGCTGGTTTTTGTAGTCAATACCATGCTTCTGCAAAATTTGAATTATTTTCTGTGAAAGAGCTGTAGCATCAAGACGCTTTGCTGCCTCAAAGGCAAGGAAGCTCTCACATACTGACCCATTGTAATAGTATCTTATTACAAAGCACAACTGTTCTTTTTTGCTTAGGTCTTTTGTCTCATCAACCAAAATGCTGAAAGCCTCACTTTGGGAAACTTCACTAGTTACTGAAGTGCGGACAATTTCAGCTAGACAGTCAATTATTTCATTTTGTGTGTCATGCCCAAGATATGTTGCATTTTTTTGAGATGTCATTTTTCTTTTGACTGTGGGATTGTGTTTGGCTAGCAGTCCCATAATAGTGAGAACGTTTCCTTTATTCTCACCTTCTGATTCTTTATGTGCTCTCTGTGCTATGTTCTGCATAGCTGTGAGAAGCAGGGTTTCTCCAACAACTTTAATGTACTCTCTATTTTCCTTCACTAATTTATTGTATTCCGCATTTAAAGAGGCTGAGAGAGAGGATGTGATTGCAGTGGATTTTTCATGCTCTGCCCATGCTAACATTGCATTAGTATATGCTTCAGATTTGGCATGACCTAAAAATCCCCCATCTTTGAAGGTTGCCTTTTTCCAATGTTTGAACCCCTCTTCAGATGTAAATACTGAATCACCGGAAGAGGGGAGACTGAAGTGCCGGCAGGCATAACAGTAAGCAGAGTCTTTACTCTGAGAGTATTCCAGCCATTTATGTGTGTTGTACCAGTCTTTAGAAAAGCAGTGTCTTCTGTCCCCTTGATAGGTGCGGGGGAAGATTTTCAGATGTGGCTGCTTGGGCTGCTCTGCTTTTGACTGGGAGATATCTATAATGAAACAAGTGGCAAAATCAGTTATTCTCATATTAAAATAATAATGATAATATTAACAATAATAATAATAAGAACCTCTCATAATTATCAATCATAGCTGTAATAATGGCCTATAGGCATTTCTATTCAGACTAATAAAACTCAACTACTAATAAACATGAATCAAAAAGCTGCTTTAAGTGATTGTCATGACTTGCAATTTAATGGAAACACACTAAACAAAACATACATTTCTCCAGATGATGTTACTATCTAGGCTACCCATCAATTTTATTATTTGGGCCACGTGATCATGACTTCACCTGTTGGTCCAGGAACACGTCTAACACCTTCTTTTGCTGTGTCCTGCCACGCTTCTGTGACCAATGGTGCTGACTGTCCCTGGGCTGCTGCTGTCTGTTTTTCCTCATCATTGTGTTCTGTCACTAATGCTGGCTGTGTATCCTTGACACGTCTGTTCCTCTCCTCCATCCTCCTCTTCCTTCTCTTCCTCCTCCTCCTCACTATTACTAAGCCTCTGTTGCTCCCCTGCTATCTCTTTCACTCCTCCTTCTGTACTTTTCTTCTTAAAATAAGAAGAGATGTCTGTGGACTTTCTCTTCATTGTCTGAAAATTGACATAACATATACGAACATGCTAACGACGTTAGCTAGACAACGTTAACTCATGTCAAAACGTGTCAAAGATGCATCAAAAAGCTGCTGTAACAGTATGTAACCATTTCGCACTTAAAAATCACGTCACGACACATAATTCCCCGTCTTCTTTTACTAAAGATATTTTTTACTTATTTACTTACCGGTAGTCTTTGTCTTCTTTCTTAACCTCTTTCAAAATTGTTGACCGACAGCAGAGATGACGGGCACGCGCTGAGCTGTTGCTGTCTGAGCGCGCAACAGCGGCATGGACGGAGGGGGGCGGGGTTCGGGGGAGTACTGGCTACTGTGTGCGTTCGCTGGTCTAGAGCGGCTTGCCTGCTAGTGCCTTGCTGTGCATTAGGGATGAAATGTATAACTGAAGCTACTAAAATTTATTCTGGCCAGCCACCCCCTGGTGGCGCCATTTCCGTAACCTCTGACACGCTTGGCAAATGATCTCCCACGAGACCATTGAATAACTCAAACGTAAATTGTGGATCGATGGATTTATTTACGAGTTGAGCAGAGAGTCTGCACAGTTTGACAAGCGGCCACGGCATAGTACACGCATTGCAGATGGCTAATGAATTGTCTTTTTCACACACCTTGTAGAATTGCCAGACTTGTGAAGCCATTTTTATCAGGGCGTAAAAAAATTCTAAATCATCTGATCGTCTTTTCTGGATCGGACTTTATAGAGACCGCCAATCATACATCCCAAAGCAATTATCGGCCGATTATGATCGGCGGCCGATCAATCGGAGCACCCTTGGAAGAAAATAGATACTTAAGGGAAATTTTTAGGGTGTATGAGGTTTGACCTAAAGAAAATAACACTTAAGGTGCTTTATGCAACCGGGCACAGCTCCTAACATGCAGGTTTGTCAGATGACACAGTTTGTGGCATTGTCCCTCAGGCTTGTTGGCTGCATTTCTCAGTGTGTTTTAAGGTTGTGTGTGTCAATTTGTTTTGCAGCACTGATACCCCTTTTGGACTTATGCACAGTTCAGCCTGATGCTGCAGTGTCTTCTCATGCATTCTTTGGACCTTCAATCCAAACTGGGTAAAGAATTATATCTCTTGCACACTCTTTATTCATGCATTTAAAGTAGTCAGATCCAAAGATATCTTATTGACACAGAGCCATAGCAGCATGTATGAATGTGATGATGCAGTTGTATTTACTTTCGCTGCACCCTTTAGGCAGCCTCCTGCACTCTCAGAGTTAACGTCCCTGTATGTGGGCCGCTGTCACAGCCTGTGGAAAGAGGCCGGACAGATGCTCTGGTTGGAGGAGAATGTCAGAAAAGTGCTAAAGAGGGTCGACACACATGACCCTTATGTGGAGGACTGCCAAAACAAGTAAGAAACCAATGAACACAGTTGTGTTTTTGTGCCTTTTTTAAAGTTTGTGGATTTGCTGATGCTTAATTTACCTTCTCAATATCAGATTACACTTCCATCTTCATCCTGATAGAGTGAAAGGTCATGCTGACCAGGAGAAATATGCTCATGAATGTCTGTGTTTCTCTTGCTCCATTGACATCTGACATCATGGCTTTAACAAATTGTACTCTGAATAATAATAATAATGATTATTATTATTATTATTATTATTATAAAAGTGTAGAGTAATTATGACATACAGAGACTGCAAGTCAGATAGGGATACTAAAAGATTAGAGGCAGCCGAAACTTCTGCTAAAAGTATGCTGAAGCTATGTGACATTGGAATGTCATGTACAGGCAGACAGGGTCTCAAACATTCACATTTCCAACAATTCCAACATTTCCAACAGTGGCAAGGAACCAAAACTCCATCAGGCGATTGAATGGGGAAAAAAACCTTGGGTGAACCCAGGCTCAGTCGGGGGCCAGTTCTCCTCTGGCCAACGAAGGAACAGTGATTACAAAACAAATTGGATCGAAACATTAAGAGAATTGTCCATTTCCATCTGTTTGGAAGTCGAAGTAACCACGCCAGTTTGGAGACGAGATGTTGAGGATCAGTGGCGATGGGTGCCATGTCGATGAGGCCGGCACTAAAGGATGAGATACCTGGATGTGCTTGTCTTGTGCTCCGCTGTGAACTAATGTTACGAACACAGATAGAGTCCGTCTGCTGCAGAGAATTTCAACGATGGCACTTTCTCCTGGAGGAAATCTCTGAATCAGACGAGCACATGGAAGTTTGTGTTGTGATAGTTTCGCCTGACCATCCTGGCCTGAACATCCAGGTATCATGCAGTAATTCACCATATAGAAATAAATCCAAAGAGGAGTAATTCACTAATGAGTTTGCCAATGTAACGTTAACGGGGTTTGTTGTTGTGGGAAGAAGGAGGCAGGAACCGGCGAACATTTAAACATTTTAATAGTAAAATAAACAAATACAAAACAAAAGTATAAGCTAGCAGCCACTCATTGACGACTGCTGTAACGTTACACACAACAGAAACAAAGCAACATAAAATCAGGCCTGTTTCTCTCTCGATCTGCTCTCGTCGCTCCTCATTTTATGCTTTCGCTCCTCGAGACGTGAGACCGGCGCGCGCCTCTCAGGTGTCTTTCATTATCACTCACGCCACCACCCTTGCTCGGCGCGCCGTCCTCTTACGTCCCTCGCCCTCGATCGACCTGCTCGCCACAGCCAACTAACTAGACATTTTGTGTGAAATGAATTTCAAACTCTGGTGACAGCTAACGTTAGCCTTGTAGACGGAAGAGTGATTTCTCTGTTTCTCAGTGATTTGGCCACCTTTGCCGACCCAATAACGGGCAGATGTTATGGTTCAGGATTGATTGAAACACCCAGTGAACGTTGTATACCATCTGACAACATCAACCCCTCCTGGCCAAGGCTACATTCACAGAAAGTGAACGTAGAAGAAGCATTTTTTAGATATTTTATTTCCATAATTCATATGACAAGATTAAAGATGAAATCTGCTTTATAATGATGATAAAAAATTTGTGTACATAAAATGCATTAAAAAATATTAAAACAAGTTGCAGTTTAAAATGTAAAGTAAAATGTATGTTTTTTGCTTACTTTGTGTGTTGGGTGACTCTTTTTTTATGCATGTGTGAGAATCTTTGATAGGAAAGAGATTGTGAGAATGTTGATGTTCTTCTGTGGCTCTTTACTGGACAGGAGGAAGCAAAGATACCAGAGTGCTCCCAGGAACATCCATAGACATGTGCTGATGTCTGAGATAAAGGAGGCAACAGCCACTCTTCCTCTAGTAAGAAACATACCTCAGCTACACCTTCATACAGTGGCAGTAAGAATGCATTAATCAAAACCTACTCAATTTGACATGACATGTAATTGAGCCATTGTTTATTTGGAAGAATTTTTTTGTTTTGTTTTTTTAAAGAGCAGCTTAACAGAGATAACAGGAAAATAATGCAACAAAGTTTGTTTTAGAAGAAAATAGCATCACAGTCCAGCTTAAGAAAGTGCAGTGATGTTTCAATTTTGTTTTGTTTCAATTTTGATGTTTCAAACTTTTTGGCCCCATTGTGTGTGTGTGTGTATATATATATATATACACACACACACACACACACACACACACAATGGGGCCAAAAAGTTTGAAACATATATATATATACAGTATATACAGTATATAAACAGTATATACACACAATGGGGCCAAAATGTATTTAGTCAGCCACTGATTGTGCAAGTTCTCCTACTTAGAATGATGAGAGATAATTTTCATCATAGGTACACTTTAACTATGAGAGACTATGAGATAAATTTTTAAAGAATTTATTTGTAAATTATGGTGGAAAATAAGTATTTGGTCAATAACAAAAGTTAATCTCAATACTTTGTAACATTACCTTTGTTAGCAATGATAGAGACAAACATTGACAAATGACATACATTTCCTGTAAGTCTTCACCAGGTTTGCACACACACTCTCTGCAGGTCATTCATCAGGTCCCTCTGTGTAGTTCTGTGATTTTTGCTCACTGTTCTCATGATCATTTTGACCCCACGGGATGAGATCTTGTGTGGAGCCCCAGATCGAGGGAGATTATCAGTGGTCTTGTATGTCTTTCATTTTCTTACAATTGAATTTTTTCACACCAAGCTGCTTGCCTATTGTAGATTGACTCTTCCCAGCCTGGTGCAGTTCTACAATTTTCTTCCTGGTGTCCTTCGACAGCTCTTTTGTCTTGGCCATGGTTGAGTTTGGGTTCAAACAGGTGCTAATAATACAGGTAACGAGTGGAGGACAGAAGAGCTTCTTAAAGAAGTAGCTACAGGTCTGTGAGAGCCAGAAATCTTGCTGGTTTGTGGGTCACCAAATACTTATTTTCCACCATAATTTACAAATAAATTCTTTTAAAATCCTACAATGTGATTTTTTTTTTCTATTTTTTTCTCTCATAGTTGAAGTGTACCTATGATGAAAATTACTGACCTCTCTCATTATTCTAAGAAGGAGAACTTGCACAATCAGTGGCTGACTAAATACTTTTTGGCCCCACTGTAACTGATTTGTGTTTTACTAAATATTAATACATCAAAAACTGTACATGATATGTGTTTTTTAAATCAAGTGATCAAGTGTTAGTTGCCGCTGCGATCAGTGGCACGGATACGGTGTTTTCTTGTGTGGCTCGCGCTTTGATAATGATCAGACTTCTAATGTCAAATCTAGCAGAGCTAGAACCATAGGCTAGAACTGACTATTGTGCGTGTACGCGAGACGCCGGCGCGCGATTACGTGGGAATTTTTCCTCAGGAAACAGGAATACTCTTATTTATGGTCATACAGATAAGACAAGAGTACATCATCCGAAACGGTAAAGTGTCCATTTTTTATTTGTGTATAGACTACATTATAAATGACTACAAAATGTCATGCCTTTTAAAAATACAGAAAACAACCAGATGTGGGTTCATGCCGTCTCTCTGTCTCCTTTCTGTTCCACAAAATCAACCACACCAAATTATCTACTTGACGCACAGACATAAGAAATACAGATTATCTATCCAAAGCAACTTGTCCTAAAACACACATGCACACGTTCCTGTATTGATTTTATTTGCGTTAAGTTGGTTTATAAGTAGTACTTCTCTATTAGATAACCATTTCTGCCCTCCCCCCACCCCCCCTCTCTTTTTTACAGGAAGTGACCACACAGCCAGGAATGGGTTTTGACCCTCTCCCTCCTTTGGACTCCATTTTGTCTTACACCAGACCAGAAAGGTACCACCTAGATGTTTAGTTTAGTTTATTTTCTGATATAGCACATTTCTACTGCCTCAAGTGCAGCCCAAAGTGCTGTACAATTCCAACAATAAAACCAAACAGAAAGGATACAGAACACAACAGCATAAAATTAAAATATTTAGGTCTCTCTTGGGTCGGCATTAAATGCCAAGCTATAAAAGTGCTTTTTGAGTGCCGTTTTAAAGGAATGCAACGTGGGGATGGAGCGGATGGCGAGCAGTCCTCAAGTTTTCTACCTTGCATGACATAGGGCTTATAATAGTGTTTTAATTAACAAATATGCACAGGTTCATCACCCGTATGAATGACCAACAGTTTTATTTTTCACTCTCTGCCACTGTTTTAATAACTTAACTTTAATAGCTTAATGTGATAGGTTTAGAAAAATCACAGACTGATTGAATAACATCAATTAGCTTATTTAAAGGGGTCATATGACGGTTCTAAAAATAACATTATTTTGTGTTTTTGGTTTAATTGGTGTTACGTGGTTTTAGGTTAAAAAAGGTAATTATTTTACACATTGTTTACCATACATTGTTGTTGCTCCTTTATGCCCCGTCTTTCTGAAACGCATAGATTTTTTATAAAGCTCATCGTTCTGATAAGCGCTTGTGTGCTCTGTTTGCCCCGTGTATTGTGATTGGCCTAAATGCCTTAAACTTTTGACGGAAATGTCACGCCCCTTACCATATTTGGAACATCAGTTTCCAAATCAATAATGACAGGTGATAGTGTCGTTACTAGTTTATCAATTCGAGTCCGAATCTGATCCGGAAAATGGTGATGACCAAGCTGATCAATCAACTTGGCCAGCGCGACTGGAACAGAAAGTTTTAGATTGGTAAGGAATTATTTCATTGGGGACATAATCACGTGGAAGTAGGTGGAAAGTAACTAATTACAAATACTTTCGTCACAGTACTTGAGTAGATTTTTTTTTATTTTGTCTACTTTCTTGAATATAATTAAAATGTGGTATTTTTACTCTTACTTGAGTAGAATAAAAATAAATTATCTTTGCTACATTTATTTTTCACCAAAAGTACAAAGTACTATGGCACTATGACAAAGGTGCCAACGGAGCTGGGCAAAGCTAGCTGACATTTGACAGACACTTTTCAAAACTACTGCGGTGGTATGGTATGGAGCCCTGCACTTCAGCCAATAACAGATAGAGCTGAAGCACTTCAGCCAATAACAGACAGGTCTGACTCGGGGGGCAAAACCAATCAAAACTTTCAGTTCGGCTGGGGGACGGGGTGTTCAAACCACGCTTTGACATTCAATCACTGGCGCTCGTATTTGAATCAGTATCGCTAATGTTTCAATATTTCAGTGAATGTAAGTGAATTATTAGCAACTCCTGAAATAGGTAATCTCATTGATACCAGAGCACTGAGCAGTTAAAAGTAAATAAAAAACTCTGCTCATAAGATGGACGCAGTTATTGCACTGATGGAGCAAGAACAATGTAACTTAAGTATCTAAAACTCATGCACAGCTCAATTAAATGGTGAAGTTCGCCCTCTTTAACAATAGGCTACAGTTAAACTAAATGTAAAACAAACCAAACTAAAACAAACGTTGTACAAAGCTGAAAACCTCAACAACGGTGAAATAAGATCGCATGATTTATCTGTCAATCAGAGGCATGTAAAAGTGTGGTCCGTAACAATAGCAACAATGGATCGGTAGAACGAAAAAAAGAGAGTATTTAATTAATGTTAACTCATAACCCACTTAATTATTATATATATATATATATATATATATTTTTTTTTTTTACTTTTTTTTTTACACTTTTTCTATTCATAGGCTACTGTTGTAAATCTCTCTTTTTTATGGGTCCTGTGACTGTCACTTAACCTTCTTTGCTTTCAATTTTGAAAGGATTCAAATTAAACATTCAAATGATCTTTCCTGGATTTACTTTTCAAAATTACAATAAATGTCAGTTTCATGTTTCATGTTGCTTCTTAACACAGAGTGAAAATATATCATTTTAATCAATTATATGATACTAGCTATGTTGATTCACATTGCATTAAAGGGTTGAGTGTTGTGCTCCATATCGCTATCATCTTCCCATTTTGGGTAAAAATAGAAAAATAATACTAAAGTACTTTGTAACATAGTTACTGTAAGAACTGTAGGTTTATGGGAATGGTTCAGGTAGAGTAAGGTTGGGTGAGCAAACAGAGTCTCAGTCAAAAGACATCAAATGGTATGGGACAGTGAATGAGGTAGAGAGAAGGCAAAGGCTTTTGTTTTCAACACCAGTAGTATTTATTATTGCCTCATGCTTATTCACTTGAGGTCAATGCATTGTCTGTGTGCTGCATAAAGAAATAACAAAGAGATAATACAATTAGTGACAGTGATTAACACCTATTAGACAATTATATAAATGAACAACACAAATGTGAGTGGACTAATCATAATAAAACAGGCTGTAACATATAATGAAAAAAAAAAACTTTACACATGGCTCAAGGCACATGTGTGGCAAACAAACCAATCAATCAACAGTGCACATGTTGACAGAGTGGCAGTAAATCATAAAAAAAGCTTAAAGAGAGAAAACACAATCAACTAATAAATGTACTCACGTAATTCATAAAGACGCACACAGCTATGCATCCATGGTGCCAGGAGAAAGTGCAAAGAATGAACCAAAGGGTTCAGAATCAACTTATAGACAACAGGTGAGGTGGGCGTGGTCAGGTGACAGGTGGCAAAGTATCATGGAAAGAGCAAAATGGAGTTGAAAGGGAATAGAAGGGCAGGAGTCTTTTCATAGCCGCCCCGGAATTGGGATCAATTCCTCCTGGGTAAAAGACTCATTCGACCAGCTCCGGAAGCACCATCAAACGTGACACTGGTCTTGTATAAATCTGACTGCCAACTTGGACGTCCACTGACCGGACACGCCCATCCCTCCCGGTCGTAACGTTGGTGACACGCCCTGTTGGCCACGAGGCCCGAGGCAGTTCGGGTTCGAAGATGAGAACAGTCTTCCCTACTTCGAGATTCTGGACTTCCCTCATCCACTTTCCTCTGGGTTGCAGGTTAGGCAAATAGTCACGAATGAACCGTGTCCAAAAGTGGTCAGCCAAAATCTGGCTATGACGCCACGTCCTTCGCCCAAGGAGCTTACTACTGACAAACATGGCTTGTGGCAGAGAGGCATCCTGCCGCCCCATCAAGAGCAAATTGGGAGTGATCGGATCAGGATCCGCTGCATTTGAGGACAGATAACCTAGAGGCTTTGAATTCATGATGCCTTCTACCTCTATTAAGACAGTTTGAAGGACAGCTTCAGAGGTGGTCTGCTTTCCAAGAATCACTCGCAGGGCATTCTTAACTGATCTGATTTCACGCTCCCAAGCTCCACCGAAGTGTGGAGCTCCTGGTGGATTGAAGTTAAATGAAATCTGCTGATTGGCCAAGTGTTCCTTGAGCTTGGGTTCCATCGCCTGGAAGGATTTATTCAGTTCTCTGTCCCCAGCACGGAAGTTTGTTCCTCTGTCTGCCCAGATCTCCAAGGGCTTGCCACGACGTGATATGAAACGACGGAGAGCTAGGAGAAAGGCGTCAACATCTAAACTTCCCAGCAAGTCAAGATGTAAGCAACGAGTAGTTAAACACTTAAAAATAATTCCCCAGCGTTTTTCTGTTCTACGGCTCTGGTAGATAATGAAGGGTCCAAAACAATCTGGAGAGGAGGGGAGAGGAGAGGACGCTGGCGTGGCTTGTTCGCCGCTTCTCCGTTTCTCTAACGTTAACCACAATAAAAATTAAAATAAGTCTCTGCAACCGTTTTTTGTCACGGTATATATAGTATAACGTTTATCGATCAGTATTACGTTCAGAGAGTTATTACTAGTGCCGTTGCTCACTAGTAAACTTTGTGGATTTGGATGTGTTCTGTACGGATTCCACCATCTCAAGCGGCTGTCTACCTACCAGTTTTCCATCGCAAGAGAATTCTCGTATCTGTCCATTACGCCTGTTTCCGTGAGGCTTTTTCCCGCTGTCAATGATCGTGAGGTGTCCATCCGGAGTCACAGTTGTCTGCTTGCTGTGTCTGGTGATTCTCCTCTGCCCATCACAGGCTTTGCAAACGGCTAACAGACCACTCTCCACGATCGGCATAATGCTGAATTATTCCGCCATCCAGCTGAAGGAATTCAACATCTATACCACTCCATCGTGCAAATCAGTCATAAAACAACTTGGACTCCTTCGCCGGCCCCGTTATATTCACAGAAGTTGCCGTCGAAAGTTTGTTTTCTCCCAGTCTGATCGCAACATCTCATCCCTCCTGTCTCGCGTGCGCACCGTCGCATCTCGAACACGTCATCAGGGCCCTGCCACTCCCAGGACTAGTAACGCCGGAGTTGCCATGACGATACTACCCACTGATCAGGTTGGAAAACGTGGAGTGGATCTCAGCCTACTTCGGCCAATCCAGAGACTCACTACTACATCAAATATCAAGATTGAACTTTTCAATGCACAATCCATCACAAACAAATCTGGCCTCATACATGACCATATATTGCAAAAGTGTTTGGATATGATGTGCATCACAGAAACCTGGCATCAACCAGAAGTTTATTCTTTTCTAAATGAGACCTGTCCTCCTGGCTACTGCTATTTACAGAAAGCCCGCAGCACAGGGCGTGGTGGCGGTCTGGCTGTCATCCACCGAAGTGATCTGATCTTGTCCAGTATAACCCTGCCTGAGCTGACTTCGTTTGAATGCCTTGCATTTAAATGTCAGCACCCTCTCTCCACGACAATACTTCTTATTTACCGGCCACCCAAACCAAACCCATCTTTCATCCCAGAGATATCCAATCTTCTTTCAACCTTCTGTACAATGTCTGCCAATACCATTGTACTAGGAGATATGAATATCCATGTTAACTCCTCCACCTGCCGTTTCGCTGCAGAATTCCTCCAACTAC